GTAAAAACAGTAAAATTGTGGACTATTACTGCAATTTAAAATAACTAAAATTTCTATTTGACTATAGTTTACAATATTGTTTATTCTTGTGTTGCAAAGCTGAATTTTCAGTGTCATTACTCCAGTCTTCAGTTCTAATATGCTGATATGCTGCTCAAGAAACATTTATGATTATTAGTAATGTTCAAAACATTTGTGCTTAACAGCATGTATTTCACATGGAAATCTTTTGTAACATTATAAATGTTTTTACTGTCATTTTAATCAATTTAATGTGTTTTTGCGGAATAACATATTCATTTCCTAAAAAATAAATCATACTGATCTCAGACTTTTGAATGGTAGTGTATGCTTGTGTATAAAACTCTGCCTGTCCTGTTCAGAAAGTTTTTTTTGTTGTTGTTTTAAGTAAGTCCATGAACTAAAAATACTTATTTTCATCAAAGTATTTAGGTGTCTGTCCTAAATCAGCGGTACCTTGAATAATACACAGAGCCTGGCGCCCTTGTGCACATTCAAAATTACTGTTATTGACTCCCATAAAGGTCAAAGGTCATAACATATCCTGGACAACACTGCATTTTTTTATAGTGTGTAATGTGATCATATGGTGCCTTCAGACTTTCCACTCAGAATCATGATTGCATTAAAATTATTTTAGTTGGAATTAGTGTTGTCACGGTACCAACATTTCAGTATTCGGTACCAATACCAGTGAAAATCCAATTTCGGTACCAAAGCAAAACACACAAACATGCTAATTGAACAACATTTTTATTAATAACATTAAAAAATTTTTTTAAATGTACAAAACCAATGCCATTCTTTATACTTATTTAAAATTGTTTAAAGTTTTTCCACAAGTAATAAAAGTATGAAAAATGTAAACAAGTTTCACCCAAAAGTTTAGTCATAGTTCTGCTGCCACTGAAAAACATCTGTAAACCGTTGTCTGTTTTAGGGTTTGCTGGTGTGTTTCAGGATCGTCCTCAGTCTGCAGCTGTGAAAGGAAAATATAATATACTTAAGTAAAGCAATGGACTGAGTCTGACCAAATGCAACATTAGATCATTGACACCAGCTAAAATATAACTTTTCAGTAAATAACAAACCTCACATATTTTGGTTACACAGTTAATTTAAAAGCCTCTGGTGTGTAAAAATGGTAAATACCATTATGTCCTCCTGTTTTTTACAGTAATAAAAGTTATAGGAGCATTAAATAGTTAACAAAGAAATCATTTTGAACAAAATGAACAAAATTCATTCTAATGCTCATTATATTAGCGTTAGCCGCGCTTATGCTAACGATTAACTACGTATACGCTAACGGCGATGTTTATTTCAATCCGAAATTAAAATTAAAATATGGAATAATATTCATAACAGAAGCTCTAAATATAAAAAATGTAATTGAAACTTACCTGCTTGAACTTGATCGGGGTGTTTTGTTAGTTTGATGCTTTTCCTCCTCTTGAGGTTGCCAGGTTTTCACAACAAAACCCGCCCAATCGCGTTTCGAGGGGGTCCCCCGTTAAAAATCGCATTCCGAGGATAAAATACACATGTTTTGGCGGGGATCCCCTGGTAAAATTTGCATCCCAGGGGCTAAATATCACGTTAATGGGGTCGTTTTTCAACCCGCGGACATGAAAATCAACCCGCAGCAACAGTGTTAAAGCAGCCCAATTCCGCGGGAAAACCGCAGACTTGGCAACACTGGAAGAGGATAGCTTTCGGATAGCACATCAAGAACTGGGTTGACCGGGTACTCAGTACCACCGGTATTTTAAAAAAATCTGGTACTGTACCGTTTTAATTTTTTTAGTACTGACTTGGTACCGAAATACTGGGTCTTTTGACAACACTAGTTGGAATAATAAGCATGTATTTGGCAATTTCATGTTATTTTCTTTTTTTTTCTTTCATCACTCCTGGTGAACAGTATAATCAGTTGTATTTTTGTCATCAAAAATAGTTCCAAAACAATCTGAAGCCGGATCAATCATTAAGTGTCTCAAAGTGATATAAACTTAGCCAATCAATGACTGTCTAATAATTTAGTTTTTGTTTCCCCCCCCCCCCTACTGCTACTCTTCATTTAATTTGTAAAAGTTTTGTGTGTTCTGTTTGTTTCATTCACTATGAAAACATAATTATAACCGATACCAATTAGCTTCCATCATGATTCATTGACTTATACACTCCAAACCCAGAAAGCCGAGTTTCCCACTGATAATTACAGCATTGTAGTAGTGTTCATGTGAAGGCAACCATTATCTTGTGCACAAGACTCTCATCAGATCACAAACTAGGTGGTGCCTAGGATGTAATTTATAAATTTAACAATCTGCTTTTTATAATAGGCCAAAGGTGACCGCTTTATCCCATGTTGCCTTTATCGGTCACTGTTGTGATTTGAGAACAAACAAAAGCTTCTTAGCATAATCGCTAATGCACTCAAATCAGAACAATGAATGAGTCTGTGTGTACTGGTGCTCTGACTCTAGCTATAGTAAGTGATTTTGGCAGGTTGTGATATGATGTAACCTTCTGAACAGCTCCAGCGAGATCATGTTCCAGCAGACCTTTAGGCAGTGCCTGTCCCACATGTTCCATAAACACCCAATCCTAAGGGTCTACTCTACATGTGTAAAAACAAAAAACACACCAGCAGCAGAATCGGGTCGAAAGGGAGGTACCAGTATAGTTTCTTTATCGCTGCTGTAGATAAGAAGCCGCCCCTGTTAACCGGGTCTCTGCAGACCTTGAATATGTTACTCATTAGTCATTTCTGCTGTCTGAGTTGCGTTATAGTGAGTTCCTGGAAACACTGGCAGTGCACTCGGTTCACATGCAGATGAATAACTCTCGTAACTGACCAGGGGTGGTTAAACCAGTCTGCTATTGATTATTGGCTTTCTCTGAGCTCCAGCGTTGATGATAGTCATTTCTTTGCCTGGTCAGTTATCACTCATTATCTACTGCTTTTTGGCACATGCTAGATACTCTAAGTATGCCAGATAAGGTTGCTTTATTTCAGGTTGCATTATTCCAATTCTGTCAATAACCATGTGAATCTCACAAAAAAAAAGACAAAAATATTGTCTCCCCAATATCAAAAGAGGAAAAAGTATTATATTTCTATAATTTATAATATAATTCACACTCACTCACATGCACCGATACCGATACTGGCCTGTATAGTCGATGTGCGCGAGCTGATAAGCAAAGCACACTGAGTGGTTTTAGCGTGCGGCAGCACAGACATCACTGGAAAGTTTGTCGTTCAGTCGGATGTCAAAAGCAAGTAAGTAAAACAATGCACAAGTTTACTACAGTTACTTGGCGGTAAGGAGAGAGAGCATTTTTTTAACGTTAAGCCTATAGGACGAAAGTGAAAATCGAAAGTGAAACTAGCAGCCTGTGTGAAGTGCACTAGGCTGTACTGTAGGTGTCCCTCTCACCAATACAATTGTGTTCGTGCTTTGCGCATGTTTTTTTTGCTTGGAGTTAATTGCGTTATATGAGTGGCTTTGGAATGTAAGTCGTAGCACTGTCAGATGATAAAAATCGGGACTTATATTTCAGAAAGCATGTTCATCGCTGTTACAAGATTTATGTATAATGAGTGGTTCCCTGCGTTGTTACAGGAAAAACGGCTTGTGATTACAGTACTGAGCCGCCGCAGTGGAGCAGATCTAATGTGCTATTAAATTAAAGATGAAATACCATAGAGCAATAAAATGAACAGTGAATGTAACAAAAGCTTGTACAATACATTTTAATGGGCATAATTAAGTGTGAAAATGACTGAAGGAAATATCTATTTGCTAAATGAACTAAGCCAACTTACATTATTCATATTCTTTTGGTTTCTGTACCCAGTATTTAAAAAAAAAATTACAAATGCAGTGAAAATACAGGTATCTGTATCGTTATTGGCAAGTACCAAAAATAATAGTATCGGTTTGGGCCTTGTTCTGGAAAAAGTGTATTGGTGCATCCATAATTATTCTAAATTGTAATCATATTTCACAATTTTACTGTTTTTATTTATTAATTTTTTTTTTATCAAATAAATGCCGCCTTGGTTCAGAGCCTGTTTCAGATTTTTATTTTTTGTGGCATTTATTTATATGCACATTAAGCACATTTTTCTAAATTGTATGTCTCTAAACCTTTTACTTTTTACATTAATGTTTCTTTTTTTAAAGAATTAGGGAGACATTTTAAGTATTAATAACAATTATTAAAATAAATGTTGTCTTGTTTCTCTTGTCTTCATGGAC